CTAGTAATTTTTTACTGTTTTGCCAATGAGATTATTTTATTTTTAAATTGGCCAATCAGCGATACATGTGTGCAAAATGCGATGTGTGCAATCGGAGCCCTCCCAAATTTATAATGTACGTGATATTTGTGTAATTAAAACTATATATTATAACCTAATTAATATATTTATTGTAGTTTCAGCGACACCTTTGTCTCAAGAGAGAAACATTTAATAAATTACAATTATTATATAAAAATTCAGAAATTTTTAAACAATTAACAATTTACAATTAACAATTTCATGTAAGATATATCGGCATTTAGGTAAAAATAAAAATACATCTAATTCATTAATATAACTTACCGTTTCATAATCGAATTCGCAAACAATACCATTTTTGTAGCCGAACTCTTTGCTCTGAAGTGAAGCCAATCGAATTGGTTAGCACTGATTCAGAGCAGTGCATTGATTAGCATTGATTCGGGGCAGTGAGAGAGTCAAGTTACTAGGAGCACTGGATCTGAATCAAGGCAAGTAAAGCCGGCTGCACACGATGCTTGTTTTCCTACTGGATTGCTAGCTGGATTAGAATCTTGCCACCGTATTGAATGTGATGCTGTCAGTGCCAGCATCGCAGCCAATACAGTGGCAAGATTCTAAAACAAGCATCGTGTGACGCAGGCTTAAAACCGCACTCGGATCGCATACACCACACCGTTTCGGCACTAGTGCAAAAGTTACTAGCAACTGATACCGAGCAACATCGAGTGAGTCCACATCAATCGAATTCGCCATAAAAGAATATACCAATAACAGCGAGCGCCACTCAATTGCTGAGTCCACTGAATGCAGCCAATTGGCCTGTTTTCTGTTCCTGCACTAAACTGTTCTAGAACTCTCTTTCTCGTTTTAAACAAATATGAAACGTATATCTTTCTCACTTTAAGTTCCAAAAGTGTACACTAGGACTGCGTTCCACTCAACGCTCATAACGCTTGTGGAATCATTTCATTCTTGTCGTTTATCAAATGTTAAACAAGGACAAACGCTCGCGAGCATTGCGAGCGTTAAGTGGAACGCAGCCTCTCTAGTTCAGCCACAGGGGCTCTATTCTTGAAAAACAACGTATACGAAAGTCTAGGGAAATACTATAGTATACGTAGACCCGTATTCAGGGGGTCGATTCTGTATCTTCAATCAAGGTGAAAATTACATAAGTGAGCAAATTTACTAGGTATTGACCAATGAAATTATCAGTATTTTAGTAAATTCACTCACTTTTGTAATTTTCACCTCCTTTCAAGATACAGAATCGATCCCCAGAACGCGCTTAAGGGCATTCTACAATGCGTTGCCAACAACCGTTGCCAGTTGAAATGTTTATCACGACAATCAATCAGAAGCATAAATAACACCATTAACGCTTCTAATTGATTGTCGGAACAAACGTTTCAACTGGCAACAGGTGTTTGCAACGCATTGTAGAATGCCCTTTACAACGATGTTAGCACGTTAACATACTATACTTTACGTCACGTATATTATAGAATTTCAGAGATAAAAGTGCGCTTTTATCGATAAAAGTGTGTTCTGAATACGGGCCGTAATGTATACTGTAGCATTTCCCTAGACTTTCGTATACGTTTCTTTTCAAGAATAGAGCCCCAGAAATAGACCTAGCGTGCATTCGTTTATGCAGCGGTTAGCGCAGTGAGTATCATTAATCTTTATTCAACACTCGGTGAACAACAAGGATAAAGTAATACTTCTGCGCTAACTGCTGCACAAACGAATGCACGCCTAAAGGTAAATTTTCACGGGCTGCTCAAACCGGCTGTTTCAGCGACAAAAAGAATCACGTGGTCAAAATTGACGAATATCAAATGTCCATTTTGAGCCGGTAAGAGCAGCTCGTAAAAAATTACCTATAAGGTAAATTTTCACGAGCTGCTCTAACCGGTTATTTTAGCGACAAAAAGGATCACGTGATCAAAATGGACATTTGATATTCGTCAATTTTGACCACGTGATTCTTTTTGTCGCTGAAACAGCCGGTTTGAGCAATAACTATCGTTTTGTTAACATGTCATTCTTATTACCTTTGACAAAACTTATTGGCTGCGTTCAGCAGAGAAAGCAGCTTTGCAACTGTTGTAAAATTTTTCAATATGATTGGTCTTGCCCTTAGTTTCTCATTGGATCTAAATGTATAAACCAATCATATAGCGTTTTCGGCCCGACCGGGTTTGCACCAACCTGGGTTGGATTAATGACGTTTTGCGCTCTCCTATTGGTAGAGCGTGTGACATCAACCAATAGAAAAGATTAATCCAACCCAGGTTGGTGCAAACCCGATCGGGCCGAAAACGCTAATATTCAAGAATTTTACATAGTTCCAAAGCTGCTTTTTCTGCTGAACGCAACCAATGTCTGTCCAGGGGCTCTATTCTTGAAAAGAAACGCATACGAAAGTCTAGGGAAATGCTACAGTATACGTTACGTATACTATAGTATTTCCCTAGACCTTCGTATACGTTTCTTTTCAAGAATAGAAAAGGCCCCATATGCGGTCCAAAAATCATCTCGTTTCGATTGAATAGTCATGCGATAAGTGACGGTCGACGCATGCGTGATGAATTGTGATTTGAATTTGAACGGCGCAACGTTTACTCGTTTAGTCTTCCATCGACGGTGATACGACGAATATTCGTGATTCTCGGGAGCGTTTTTCGATCATACAATAAATAGATTCTCACGAGTGCGTTTCCCGATTATACAATAAATACGAGGCTTGCTTCCTTGAAATATTTAAGAACCGAACTACAATGTCAGATAGCATAAAAGTGGCTATTAAAGTCAGGCCTCTCATTAAGCGAGAAAAGGATGAAAATTTATCGATACACTGGGTCACCAGTGAAAACACCATTGTAGCTACCGATCCTGAATTTAGAAAGCGATCTGATGGTGGATTCGAGTTTGGTACGTCAATATGTTATGCGAAATTATTACGAATGCAAATTTCAAAACACGTGTTCCGGGCACGTTTCATTTTTCTCGACGTATCTCCCTTGAAAAATATATTTTTGTATTTACATTTTCTTTCGATTTTTTACTTTTTCTTTTTCCTTTTCCAATTTAAAATATTTCATTTCTTTAGATATAAAATACATGTACATCATGAAGTACTACTAAAGAAGTATCATTCAATGTTAATTTGTATCATTGCCATGTGAGGTTATAATTTTTACCGGCCATCTTATCCTTTGACCTTGATATAAGATTCACAAATTATGTTTACATGATATTATGTTTACATTTGTAGATCATATTTTTGATACGAACGCCAACAACAACGATGTATTTAATGTTGTAAGGCCTATTGTCGATGCTGCTGTAAATGGATTTAATGGCACAGTGTTCGCTTATGGACAGACAAGTTCTGGTAAAACTTATACCATGATGGGTACTCTGGAAGAACCTGGCATAGTACCTTTGGCTGTTGAGCATATATTTGACGCAATAACCAATATTCCAGGACGGGAGTTTTTATTAAGGTAAATATATCTGACAAAAGAATAATTTACTTAGCTAAGAGAGTTTAGAATATATCTTGTGACAAAAATATAATTTAATTAAATAAGAGTTTAGAACTCTTATCTATTTTTCAAAACCTATCTGTATAAGTTATAATAGGTCTGTTCGCATTACTTACACTTTTTTTGCACTCTGCATCTTTGCTTATTCTCTTTTCAAAGCCAAATATATATCTCATTTTAAGTACAAAAATATTTGGGAATTTCATGCAATGCGAGCAGACCTACAATCAATAACATGGATCTTAAGGTAACCCTACAATATCAATAATACTGACTATGTTTACACTGGCTACGTTTGGAAACGTCGCTCGGATGCCTCCGATGCCTCGGATTCATCATCTGTCCTTGTTTAACATCTAATATTAAACAAGGACAGATGATGAATCCGAGGCATTGGAGGTATCTGAGCGACGTTCCCGAATGCAGCCAACTGCATGCATAGTTGGCAATCTATATGATACCTATTGTATAAGCCATGGCCTAAATGCATGGTATAAACGTAACCTCTGTCAATATCAACAAATATTGACAGTATTACTGATCGTGTGTTGTTAAAATTGATGGATTGAAATAGGATACGGACGATGATCTAGATTTGATTTTCAAGCCAATATTGTTAAGATCCATGTCACTGTATGTTAATGCAATAGATATTGTACATAAAACTAAAGTTAAAATTAAGTTAATATATTATCAATGATACTGATTGTGTAAGGTTGTAAAAATACTAAAAGCATTGATGCATACTATCAGTATTACTAATTTAATATTACTGATCAATATTATTGACTATGCAGGGTCCACCTTTAGTCAATAATCTATCAGTATTAACAAATACTATTGATATTATTGATTATATATGATTAGTATTGATATAGATTATAGATTAATATAGATTATGGATTGTTATAGATTATAGAATATTGATAGTGATCTAGATTTCTTTATTCTTCAATATCAGTACTCCCTATCATAGCAATACTATTGCTTAAAAATCAAGAATCTAGATTACCGCCTATAATATTGTTAGTATTTGTTGATTCTGACAGTATTATTAAATGTGTAAGATCAGTAAAAAGAACACTTCAGCATTTCTGTAAGTATAGTTGCACAATTATGTAGAACTGAGCTGAAATAAGGCTATCAATAATATTTGTCAATAATATTGATTATGTAAAAATGTTGATGTGTATTGTTGGTATTACTGATTCAATATTACTGTTCAGTATTGGTCATTTAAAATTCATATAAGAAGTATAGCATTTTATAACAATATATTAATATTTCAGAGTATCATACCTAGAGATTTATAATGAAAAAGTTAATGATCTCTTAAACAAAAACCAAGACAAAAACACAACAGATTTGAAAGTACATGAAGATGTAAATGGTCAAGTATTCGTAGAGTGTAAGGAAGAAGTTACAAATAGTCCAGAGAATGTTTTAGCAATAATGAATAAAGGCAATAAAAGCAGAAGAATAGGCGAAACAAACATGAATGAGCGAAGTAGCAGAAGCCATACGATATTTAGAATTGTAAGAACAATTTCCATTAATACTATATGTGAGATATTTTAAAAAAGAAAATAATTTTATTATTATTACTACATAAAGTAACCTGTATATAACAGATATAAATTACTATGATTGCAAACTTTTATTATTCATTGCAATGCAAAAAAAATCTAGTTTACGCTATGTATATTATAGATTTTTAGTACTTGTAATGGATAATGGGATACAGCCTATACCTAGATATAATAATCCATATATTTTCATAAATTTGAAAGTTGCAACACAATGACATTATTGCAGACGATTGAAAGTCGTGAGGCTGGTGCAGGTTCAGATAGTGCAATACAAGTTTCCCAATTAAATATGGTTGATCTAGCTGGTTCAGAAAGAGCTCGTCAGACAGGTGCTACTGGAGAACGTTTCAAGGAAGGACGTCATATTAACTTATCACTTTCAACATTGGCCTTAGTAATAAAACAATTGAGTGAATCACAAGACTATGTAAATTTTCGAAACAGTAAATTAACAAGATTACTTCAAACTTCTTTGGGTGGCAACGCAATGACAGTGATGATATGTGCAGTAACACCAGCTGCATTAGATGAGACTCGATGCACATTATCGTTAGTATTTTTTCTTCTGTTTACGTTAGGCCTCTAGCCTATTATACCTCTCTCATATGTTTGTGGGGCGCACGCTGATTATTCAATTGCCACAAGTATATGGGACCTATATTTTTAACGCCGGTTCCGAACGGCGAATTTTTCGTGAAGTATTTCTGTGAGCAAGGATACTCTTGCAAGGTTACTCTTTTTTTCCGAGAGGAGACACGAGCATAAATATTTTGATTTCTACCAGGGTCAAACTCGGAATTTCTGACATGACAGACCAGTGCACTGTCTGCCATGCCTCGCTCATGCTCTAGTATTTTTGAAATTATTTGATGTATATTAACGTAGTGTAACTGATTTTTTATTTTTTAATGAATAGGTTTGCATCTAGAGCTAGAAATGTAAAAAATAACCCTAAATTGAACGAAGTTATGTCTGACGGTGTACTTTTAAAACGATATGCAAAACAACTAGATAAATTACACACAGAATTAGAGGTAAGTGTATATTATAAATGTTTTATTTTGGGTTATTATGGAAATTTTTTGATTGAATTTTCTACACGATCACACGATAAAATCTTTTAATCCTTACAGTACCAGGCACAAAGCGATGCCTCATCGATATAAGTCTAGGTATTTCAAATCCGTCCATTTTTTAATCTATTCAAAATAGTTCAAAAAAATTTCTAAAAATTTACGAACATACTTTCAACTTTCTAGAACAAATGTTTAGACTTCTTTTGGGAAATAATAAAATGTATATATTATTTAATTTGTCGAATTTGTGAGAAATTTGCACGAACAGAAGTCGGATACGAAATATCCAGAATAGTATCGTAAGGAGCAAATATTTAAATAATATCTTAAGATCTTTTAACTTATATAATAAATTCATATTTTTAGAGAATGAAACAGTTAACTCAAACAACTGATTTTCAAGAAATGGAATCTAAAATGCAAGAGAAAGATCGTATTAATCAGAATCTAGAAGAGCGTATTAGATTACTGCAAACTCGAATTATCACTGCCGCTAATTGCAATACTATAGTATCGTTCAAGACTAAAGAAAAAAGGAGACAGACTTGGTGTGGCACTGGTGGATTTAATAAATTAAATACATCTTTACTTCCAACGTGCTCGCATTTATCACCAATCAAGGAAATGTCACCTATCAAATCACATATTAGATATAAATCGGATACTACTATAGATTCATGTGTGTTAATTTTTCATACTATGCAAATTGAATATTTTGATAAACTGAATTATAAATTAAAGATATGTGTATTATTCTTATAGCATTCCAAATAGCCTTTGCCGATTTTGAGCTGGAACTTATGAATAGTGAAGCAAATCGTGACGAAGACATCAGTAGCGATGAGGATCCATTTGTTACATATCGTGACAAACATCGCGTAAAATTTACCGATGATGTAATTGTCAAATCATCTATAAACTATAGCAACGATAACATCACATTTGACAAAATTGAGGCGTCCACTCAAACTGTAAGGTAAGTAGTACAGAAAAATTAATTTGATTTTGTTTTACAATTATTTTAATCATTCTTTGTTTATAACTAGCAATAACTCACCCGATACACCAAAGCATACTCTGCGAGATAGAATCCGTAATTTGACGGAAGAATATTCAGAGCTTAAGGAATTCACAACCTTGGAAAAACAGCTACATTGCGAAGACCATTTATCTGAACTCCAGGAAAAACGTTCACAGTTTAAAAAGCAATTGGAAAATGTTACATCTGATAAGGACGCTTTCGAACATATAGCATCTAAACTTCGTAAAAAGTTAACTGCAGCTGAATTACAATATACTTTAGCAGAAGATCTATTAAACGTTCAAGCAGTAGAGTTAGAGAGAATACCAGATTTAGAAAAAAAAATTGCGCAGTTGTCTGCACAAAAAATAGAGGTGCATAACGTTCCTGATCTATACAAACAGATAGCCGTTCTTATAGCTGAAAAAGATGGATACGAACATGTGGCATCTGAACTGCGAAAAAAACTTAATGAAGCCGAACAACGCAATATTATATTAGAAGATAAATTAACACGAAATGTAGAATTAGAAATACCATCTATTCAAACTTTGTCGAATAATGAGACCATTTCATCTGAAAAAGATGAACTGCAATGTAAAATAACTGATCTGCAAAATAAGCTAACAGAAGCAGAGTCAAACAATAATTCGATAAAAGATAAACTGGAGGAGCAACAACAAATGCTACAAAATCTTCAAGAAGAAAAAAATATAGTTGCTTCTGAAATGCAAAATAAATTAAGAGAAGCAGAAGAAATTAATAATTCGATAAGAGATGGATTAAACGAGCAGAAACTAGAAATTCAGAAATTTCAAGATCAAGAAAAACAGATTGCACAACTTAAATGTGAAAATCACAAATTTAAACTTACTGTCAATGATCTTCAAGAGCAATTAATAGAAACAAAAGTAATTATTAACGCAAAGAAAGATAAAATGCATGAATACCAGCAAGATTTAGATAAATTTCAACATCTAGAAGATATCATAAAGGAACGAATGGAATTTGAACGAATCAGTAATGAGTTGAGACACCAATTGATACAAGTACAATTAATGAATGATTCAATGAAAAATAAATTAGATACGCAGGAGCTATATATACAAAAGAACTGCGACTTAGAGAATCAAATTCAAATTCTTGCAATCGAGAAAAATGAATTTGAAGTTCTAATTAGTGAATTAGAAGAGAATTTGAAAGAAGTAGAATCAAATAATTTACTGAAAAATAAATCAAATGAATATAAAGCAAATCAATATGAAATTAATTTAGAGATCACAAATGAAACTCTTACATCTGAAAATAAATCTGAACAGATAATTTCCGAATTGCAAGAGAAGTTAAAGGAAGTAGAATCGTATAATAGTTTAATCAAAGAAGAATTAAATGTATGTCAAACAGAAGCGCAGAAAACGCTTGAAGAACACAGAAAATCCGTTGAAAATTTTGCAGTTGAGAAAAGTAAATTGGAAGATACAGTGTGTAAACTTCAAGAAAAATCAAAAGAAGCAGAATTGAATAGCAATTTATTGAAGGAGAGAGACAGAATAAATGAACAAGAATTGCAGTTACAGAAGAGTCATGATATGGAAAAAGAGATTGAATGTCTCACATCGAAAACAAAAGAGATATTTGAAAGAGATGAACAAGATTCCATAAAATTGTGTCAATCGTTGAAGAGTCCTGGAAAGGAATTGACGGAGAACCAGAGCAAAGACGAAATTAATCATCTGCAAAGTCGTATTAATGACTTGCAAAGTATTATTCAAGATATACAGAACGAAAATACGTACTCGGAAGAACAGGTAACGAAATCGATATCATATAATGAATCCGATATAGGTAATGGTGATTCGTCGAAAGTTACAGACGATTTATCGATTACGAAGATGTCTTTAGACGAAGATAGTGCTAAGTTATCTGCAGATCTTGTTTCGAAAAATCAGGAATTAGATGAAATAAAGCACATTGTGCAAAGCTTGAAAGCAGACATAGAAAACTTGCAACAAACTGTATATTTATTAACAACCGAGAACAGCGAATTGGCAAATAAATTAGCAACAGAAAAGGAATGTAACGAGAAATCGGCTATTTACTATCAGCAGACTATCGATGAGCTTTACGAGCGAAACTCAAAGATAATGGATGAAAAACTCGAGCTCGAGAATAATTTAACAAATCTTAATGAACAATTAGAAACTCTTCGCTCGAGGATGCCTGAGGTAAACTTAAACGAAGAGCAGATAATTCAAAAGTATGAAAAACAGATCAATGAATTTCAGACAAGAAACATAGAATTGTTGTCCCATATCACAGACCGAACGAAAGAGCTTGAAATGTTGAAAGAGAGTAAGTCGCTTTTGTATGAACACGATTGTATATATAAAGATAAATTAACGAATCTAACGGAGAAACATAAGCATTTAATAGCTGAAAACGGTGATCTTTCCACTAATTTAATGGATAAAATCGAGGAAAACGAAGGATTAAAACAAGAATGTGATATTCTAAAAAACAAACTAGAATTATCACTGAAAAATAAAGAGAGCATTGGTAACAATGATGTGGAGCAGTCTAGAATGGAGAATACTGTATTGAAAACCGAGCTGATGGAACTCAAAACTAACTTAAAAGCTTTAACCGAAGAAAATTCGAAAATATCCAGTCAATTAATAGAAACTATAGAAGATCTAGATAATGCACGAAAACTCAATTCTGGCAACAATACCATGCATTTGTCGACATTATTTAATAGTACCTTGATGACTGATGCAATGGATAAATCTGCGTTAGATGATGATGCTGAAACACAAATCGTAAATCTGCAAGAGGAAGTTAATCATCTCACAAATCTCAATAGAAAACTGAGCGATCTAAAATTAGGTACCTGTACACAGTGTAGCCACTTGAATGAGTTAAACGAAAATCGAAGAATGTTGAAGCTCGAAGTAAAAACTCTTAATCGTAAATTGGAAAACTTGCAGAGGAAATTCTCTAGCAAATCCGCAAAGAGTGACGCGCTCATATTGAAGGCCAAAGAAGATTTAAACGTAAGTGCGTATAACTTGTCTCTTAATGCCAGTTTTTCGGAGAACATGAATGTCACTTGCGTTGAGGAAAGACTTCAATCTCTAAATAACGAATTACAAATTTTGAAAGAAGATCATGATAAGCTATCGGATTTATATAAAGAGAAATGTAATGAAGTCGAAGAATTACAGAATAGCACCATCACGGATTCATCATCGACTGATGACAAGAATTTCAGCATAAAGAAGTTCCCAAGTAGAACTTCGTTAAGACTAGAAAATATCGTGAAAGTTATGAACGATTTACAAAATGATTTCAAGACGATAAAGGAGAACAACGAAAGTGTCAAGTCAGATCTTACCAAGTTCATTAACGAAAAAGAAAGAATGCTATTGGATGAAATTAATACTTTGAAGACCATTAATGACGAATTGTTGCAGAAATTGTCGGAAAGTGAACTCTTGCATGCTACTACGTTGGAGAAAGCGGATATTCTTGAAAATGAGGTACAAGATATGACAAAAAAATTGCAGGAGTTTACTATAAGATATAAAGAAGTTGAAAATGCAAAGTTGTTTTTTGAGGTTGAAGTAGATAGCTTGAAGGAAGACAAATTGATGAAAGAGCAAACAGCAAACGAATTACGTCAAAGCCATTCCTGTCTGGAACAGGAATTAAATTTAATAAAGAAAGAGAAAGAAAAGCTTAACAACGACATTATTCTTTTGGAACAAGAATATAATATAAAGAATGAAAAACTAGATTTACTAAAAGCAATGAACGACAAGTTAACCAACTCTAAAGCAGCTCTCTCACTGGAATTCACTAATTGTATTAAAGAATCAGAAAATAGATTGATGGAACTTAATGAAAAAATAAATAAATGCAATTCCGAAAACGATTATCTAAAACAGGAATTGATCAGGCTACGCGACATAGAAAATAAATTTGAGAAGATGAAAACTGAATATCGGTCTCAGTCACAGCAAGATAAAACATTAGCTGACGATAACAAGAAGCTCAAAAATGTATTGAATGACAGTTCTAAGAACATAATTAAGGAAATAAAATCTCTCGAACCTAAAGTCGATACTCAGAAATTTGTGGATAAATCAGTGGATGAGCTGTTCCAGATATTTATGCAAACTATTTTGATGAAAGAGAAGGAAGTAATAAAAACTATGCGGGAGAATTTCGATAAGGAGAAGCAAAAGCTCGAAGATGAAAAACGGCAGAGCGTAGACTCGGAGAAACGTACATTGCTGTGGGTGAAAGAACTAGAGTGTGAGATAGAGAAACTTCAAAAGGATCTATCCGAGCGAGAAATTGCATCCGAGGACTTACAGAAAGAAATTACACATTTAGGACACCTTTTGGAAGAAAGTAATCGCGATAGAGAGATATTGAGAGAGAAGAATAGCCTACTTGAGACGGATCTCAACAATTTACAAATTGAATATAATAAATATTCTAAGATCGACACGGCGAATGAAGAAGCCATTGTTATCGCACAGAAACGAGAAAAGCAAGCGCAAGAGACGATCAGAAATAAAGAATTAGAATTTCAGAGGCAGTTGAAATCAGAGAAGGAGGCGTACAATAAGCGAATTGAAGATCTCACGTGCACGATAGAGTTGTTTAAAACGAAAAACATGGAACTGTCAAATAGCATTGAAGGCCTCGAAGTTAATCGAAAGCAACTGAAGAATATCATCGACTTGAAAAGTAACGAATTAATGAAAAGCAATCAAATCAATCAGAAAATGCAGGCCGAATTGGAGCAGCTAACGGAAACTTACAACGATTTGCATAAAGAACTGGAAGAGAAAAAGTTATGTATCGCGGAAATCAAGGAACTTCTGAAAACTAAGTGCGATGAGCTGACAGAGTATAAAATTAATCTGGAGACGATCGTGCCCGAAAACAAGCTGCTGAAGCAACAGATTAGTGAACGGAAAGCCACCATAGAGCAGTACAAGGTGGAAATAGAGACTCTGAAAATGGAAAATAAAAAGGAGATCGACGCGATTAAAGATCAATTGAACTTTGAAGAGCTAAAGAGCACGGAGCTAAACAAACAGACAGCTGAATCAAATAATAAACACATGGCTTTGACAGAAGAGATGAATGCTTTGAGGGACAACTACACAACGTTAAAACATAAGTACGCGACGTTAGAAAAGCGAGTCAGGAACAGTACGAGCAAAGCCCAAGCGGAAGAACAAATGGAAGAACTGAAAGACTTGAACAGGTCTTTGCGAAATAATTTGGACGGTGCTAGCAATCGAATAACGGAGTTGCAGGCTGTGAAAACCGATCTGATGAAGCAAGTGATTACTTTAAGCAGTCAATATGATGCGGCGTGCAAAAACAATCAAAAATTAAAGGAAACACTATCATCGTCCAGATATAATGATACATATACTGCCTGCGAGAAGTACGACAATTTGTTACAAGAGAAAAACAAAATTGCATTAGAACTGGAAGCAACGAAAGTTCAGTTGAATCAGAAAAACAGAGACATCGAGAATTATCTCCACGAGATAAAGGAGTTGAAGGAAAAAAACACGGAACTTGATAAAGAATTAGACGAGTTGGCGGCTGTTATTTGCGAGCACGACGCAGATAATGCGAAACTTCAAGATAAGTATTTTACATGTCGTGCTGAAGCTGACGAGCTACAAGACAAGATAAAAACTCTTGAGAAGAAAACTCAAATTAATCTGTTGCAAACAAACACGTCCTCCAACAAGGCCGAAAAGTTTCACGATGATGAATGTAGTTGCGCAATATTGAATAACAAAATACGGGAGTTGCAGTTAGAGGTAGTATCAAAGAATGGAAAGATCGCAACGTTAGAACTGCAAATACGTAGCGGAAGTTTCCCTTATCAAATGAAGTGTAAAGAACTACAGGAACACCTATCAGCATATAGTAACAAAGTACTTTATTTATTTTAATTATTATCAAGTTTATGTAAATATAAGCATAATTTGATAAATACACATTGTTTTTACAGAATAGCGAGCTGAAAGCGGAAATTAAGCGATTACAGATGGCTATGATACGTACAAGTGCAAAGGAATGCGATGTATGTAAACAGAGACTAATAAACAGGAGACATCAGGCATGCCAAACAATGCCGGAAATGTTGAAATTTTGTGGCACGAGCAGCGGCGTAATCGATGTAAGTATATGTCAATACCTATTTCAGAATTGAAGCATGCAATGTCCGGGATTTGAAAATAAAAGGAAAGAAATATACAAAAATGCAAGAACAATTTTGTTTTATTGATTGCTGTGCCTTCACCTTATTATCATTATTATTAATTATTTTATAAATTATCTTATATAATACTAATTAATGATATAATTTCATATAGGACGAGATAAGAATAACGAAATTGGAGAAGGAGAAACAGATCATGAGGGACGTGTGTCGAACTAGATCAAAGACTATAAAGGAACTCGAGAAGCAAATAGAAGAATACGAAAAATTATTAAGTTTGAAAAATTCATGATCTGCGAGAACATTCATATGTCATGTATACATGTATTGATTACTATATATATTTAATTACTATGTATATTATGTGATCTGTGGCCTTTCATCACATGGTATTTAATAATAAATTGATCTAAAGTTTGCATAACATATAGAACATATAAAATGTAAATATCGTAATTTTTAATTTTAAGATAATTGTATACATCGATTATAGATAATAACGATATATTTTTTACTAATTTTACACGTGTTTACCAGTTTAAGAAAATATAATTCCTGTGATATACATATATAATGAAATATAACTTAATCAGAATATATATATATAGTGTGTGTATGTGTGTATAATATATAAATATTATATGACCGAGATAAATCGATAGTTATAAATTAAATTTTATCCGCCGCCTACATTGTGCCTTTTTACATATTTATTATCTTGTCTTATTACATGTAATTTCAAAAATAATAATATAACCATAATCATTATGACCATTTTTTAAGAACGGGCACTAGCCTTGACGGACTCTGCATTTTTGCATAAGGATACGATAGGTTAAGATAAGGTAAGTATATTTTATTTATTTCAATATGAATTTAAATAGAAAAGGAAGAAAATTAAATAATGTAAGCTTAGAGAATTCCAATTTTCGTGGCTAGATGAAAATTTTTTAAGGGATAGTTGACTCCAACTACCATCAAGAAAATAAAGCTTTATGTACTGCATGCGATAAACTCATCAGCTGTGCTCTAAATCAGATTTGATTCACAAACGGTCAAATATATTGAAAATGTAAAAAAATCGATTTGATTTTTGATCGATTGATCCTATTGATGACAATAATGAATTGATAGAATTATCATATTAAGTCAAACGAGCCGAAATTAAATTAGCAGCATTTTATGCTGAACACAATATGTTTTTTATACTGTAGATCCCCAATCAGCAGACAATGTTAAATGTTTATTTCTCATTAATTTTACATTTTTCACAATTTGTTTTTAAAATTCATTAATTTAACTGTACCTTATCTTCTTGAGAGATTTTTGTCATTGATAAAATAATAGCTTCGTGTGTAATAGAAAATTTATCCCATGTTTCCTTAAGAGTGGATAGACGAGTGCGTGCACGTTGAGGTGTTACAATTGAGTGACCTATTTTTAAGAGATTTTCAACCGAATTGGAAATTAAATCCTTGAGAGTGAGTTGTTGCTCCAACCGAGCTTCAATGTGACTAACAATAAGCCTCATCTCACCAGCCGCCTGCCAGATCCGGCTCAAAGGACCAAAAATGTCTAAAATATAAGATACAATTCAAATAAAACGAAAATATAAATGACTTAATCTATACTTAACAGGTAAAAATTGATTAATCCTCGGCTCTTCAGTTGCTGCCATTTATGTATTGACATGAAAATCACAAATAAATAGTTATTAACGTTATATTCACTCGTTTGACTCAATCTCTAATTAATTTACAATTTTTACCTGTTAAGTATAGATTAAGTCATTTATATTTTCGTTTTATTTGAATTGTATCTTGTATTTTAGACATTTTTGGTCCTTCGAGCCGGATCTGGCAGGCGGCTGGTGAGATGAGGCTTAGTCACATTGAAGCTCGTTGGAGCAACAACTTACTCTCAAGGATTTAATTTCCAATTCGGTTGAAAATCTCTTAAAAATAGGTCACTCAATTGTAACACCTCAACGTGCACGCACTCGTCTATCCACTCTTAAGGAAACATGGGATAAATTTTCTATTACACACGAAGCTATTATTTTATCAATGACAAAAATCTCTCAAGAAGATAAGGTACAGTTGCAAACGCAACTCTATTTTTCGGAAAATTTGTATTCAACCACATACGAATTTTATCTTGAAGCAGTGGAAAAGATGAATTCGTTTCTTGAGCATGACTCTGATAGCATCAATGAATCATCATCCTTTCAATCTTTATCTCAAAATTCTAATACTCCTGTTTTCTTTCATCATGCACGACTTCCTCGAATTGATATTCCTAAATTTAACGGGTCTCCATCTGAATGGCTATCCTTCAAAGATTTATTTAGCTCTCTCATTCTAGCCAACCCAACGTTAACTTCAGTAGAAAAGCTACAGTATCTCAAAACAAGTTTAATTGGATCTGCTTCTCATTTATTAAAAAATACCGCTCTTACAGCTGATAATTTTCAGAAAGCTTGGGATGCATTGATTTCCTTTTATGAAAACAAACGACTTTTAGTCCATTCTGCTTTATATTCTCTGATGAACCTCAAACGCATGACCAAAGAATCAGCTGCTGAGATGGAACAACTCTATATCAATATAACGCAAATTTATCGTACGCTCGAAACTATAAATAGGCCCGTAAATACATGGGATGACATTTTTGTTTTCATCGTAGTTCAACGAATTAATTCGGAATCTGTCAAGGCGTGGGAACATCATTTAGGCTCATCAAAGGAACCTCCTACTTGGAATCAATTCAATGAATTTTTATTATCCCGTCTTCTATCACTCCAAGCATTTGAAAAATCTCGAACAGGCAAATCTTCCACTTTATCAAACCCGACTTCTACCAAATCTTATTTTCAAGGAAAGGCTAGAGATTCTCATTCTACAAAACCAAGCTCATGCATTCTGTGTTCAGCAAATCATTATACAGGGTGGACCATCTGAAGTGATCCAGTCAAATATCTCGAAAACTAGTAGGGATAGAGAAAAATGTTTCGTATGAAAAGTTTAGGGTTACACGGGGGAAGTATGGTACTGACCTTGAAAAATCCTTGGAAGGTCATTTTGAAGGTCATTCAGGGATCACGATGGTTTTTTTAAATGGAACTCCTAGTTTTTCACCATGGGATGAGAAAGCTGGTTTCAAGCCCTTTACGAAACACTGGTTGTGGTCCACAATCCGCCCACTGGGGTCCGAGTTATGGACCATCAAAGTCATTGATGAACTACTCTTAGCGCTATCCAGGAACAACGACGTGGACGTGGTAGTTCTCTGTTCCCTTCGAGGTGCTTGATTTTTGCGACTCTTCAACAGTTTTCGAGAGTCGATACTCATTCATAACTCTGATTGAATCAAATGGAATAATCCAAGAGATTTCCAATAGTAAATCGTTAACCGAACACATGACTGCCACCCATGATAAACAGAGACTCGGTGTTCTCGTTTGTTTATGTTTATGTTTTTCTTTTCAATGGAGTTAATTAACTGTTATCCCTATTCAAATCGCTCACAATCTTCGGAGAGTGACGAACAAGAATTCAACAACAAACGGAAACATCGAATCTCTGTTTATTGCGGTTTGTTATTATGTGGATGACCACGGC